AATAGTTACCTACACAGACTACCCAATTTCAAGTCTCTAGCAGAGGCTGTACTAAGACTTTTTTGTTCAACTACAAGATTTTTCCAACCATTCCTCTGAAAATTGTAGTGATACAGTTTTTCAATTTGCTGACATGGAGTATCATGTGCCTTTTAGAAATCAGGAGACAAGTCTGTTAGCCTGCATCTGATACAAAACCCATGACGGATATCTTGGGCTAAAAGACTTAAGCTTAGATTGTGTTTTAAATGTACGTCTTTGAAATGCATTAGGCTTATTTTTCTCCTGCGTTCCAGACAGAATGGGAGAATAAGAGAATTGGAGAGAATATGTGAGCGAGTAGCTCTGAAACATTTATAAGAGCAGTGCTGTGGGAGTAAAGGATGTAAGAAAGAATTTGTATACTGCAGCAAGAAAAATGCCTATGTATAGGAACAGAATAGAGCTGTCCATTGGCATGCATGTCATCACCAGGCCTAGAGCTCACTCTAAGCTTTCTTCATGTGCTGAGCCTTTTTTTAATTCCTATTAAGGCAGCAGTTCCCAAACATTTCTGTTCACGAGTCTGGGCTTGTGATTGTCACTCACTGCTGTTTCCAGGATCTTGGTAGTATTTAGGGTCCCAGTCCTAAAATGCGAAATTGCTATGTTTGAATTTCCATACCCACCTAATCCTGAGGTGGCTCACTCTGTTCCCAGTGCTGCCTCTGAACTAGTATGTCATATTGAATAAGTTGCTTCATTCTTCTAAACCTAAGCTTCCCCTCTTTCTGTTTGAAAAACAAATCAATTTGTAGCACGAGTCTTCAAGATAAAGTTTTCTCCCTGCATGTTTTGTTTTATTCGTGGCAGGAGGTGATGAACAGAACACTTTGAGTTTATATAGCTGTGTATACATAAACTTTAATGATGTTCAGTGTGTTGGTATTGCTCATGCAGAGTGACCAAATTCTATGACCTGTTCATTTTTCCTATTAATGCACGTTTGTTAAATGACTCCAGCTGCCTAACAATTCACAAAGGATCCACGTGAGAGTCACTTTTCCCCATTACCAAGTGAAGATACGTCATAGCCCATGATCCCAGTTCAGTGGGCTTTGGAGTTTTGGGAAAGAAATGACAAGCGCACAAAATTGCTTGCTCTCCTTTAGAGAATGAGAAAAACCTCTCTTCAGGGCTCTGTATGAAGTGTTTGAAGATGGATGTATTCCTCCGTGCACATGCCCTTGCTCTCCTCAGGGACCCCATTACTCTGCAGAATGCAGCAGACCTGCCATGGTGTGGTGCTTCTCCCACAGGCAGCAGTGGGTCACCCTCTAGTTTGCAGATGGCTGCGCCCATCCCACTTGCCTGTTAGCAAAGCTCCTCTGCAAAGTGCTGTTATAACCTCCCTGACAGCTCTGCCACAGGCTTGCAATGCTTCAATACCCCATTCCTCCCTGCCTCCCACTGGTTCCCAAAGGGAAAAAAAATGTAATCGGAAACTGTCAGCAGAAGTGATTGTGCAGCAAATGGAAAATAGGGCTAGTGAAGATTTCAGGACTATTCCAGACTTTTGAGCCAAAGTCCTGACTTTCCCAGCCCTAGCAGCTAGAAAACCCCTTTTCTACACTGTGCATCCCTTGGCTCCCTCCAGCTCCTGGAAATTACCTGAACTACAGCTAAACTCCAGAAGAGGAGAAATTAGTAGCTGAGGAGGTTTGGATGGGACATGCACTTAACCTTTGAGTCACTATAAAGTCTCTTTTCTATTTAAAAAAGTCCATGAGTGAGTTACCAGAAACACTTTTATATTGGAAAAGGGCAAGCAGCTTTGGAAGATTAACTAATGATACGATTTTTCACTTCTTGTCCAACAACTTCAGCAATATTTCATCTTGCTGATTCTGACGGATGGCGTCATCACAGACATGGCTGACACCAGAGAGGCCATTGTCCATGCCTCTCACCTTCCCATGTCAGTCATCATCGTCGGGGTGGGGAACGCCGATTTTAGTGACATGCAGATGCTGGATGGCGATGATGGGATCCTGAGGTCTCCCAAGGGCGAGCCTGTGCTTCGAGACATTGTCCAGTTTGTGCCATTTAGGAACTTCAAACATGTAAGCTGACTTTTCCATCCATTCCGCAGAAGGGTGAATGTATATAACATATAGTGAATGGTCCCTGGGGCTGGGTCTAACTTTGGATGGGCATGAAGTGGTTAGTAAGTCTATGGCATTATTGTGTCAGAAATGGAGAAAAAAATGAATACAGAATGAAATGTGCTCCATTAGTGAGATGGTGAGGGTGGGGAAAGAAGAGATGGGGCAGAATTCATGTACTTCTTGAGGTGCCAGTCCTTACCTCCGTTTTCTCCTTGATTTTAGTTTAGTTGCCCTCCCTGACTTATTTTTCCGAGTTTCCATTTCTTTTCCATTCTCTTTGCATCTGTTCCATTAGGACTACTGTATTCTGCTTTCCATCCCTTCATTTCCACAGGCAGCTGAAATGGCTGTGGATTTGTACTCACAGTGTTCCCCAGGAGGCTGTTTCCTTATTGAAATTTAGGTCCCTAAGCTCTCAAAGGCAGGACTATCCACCCACAGCATCCTGGTTGCCTCCAAACCCTTTACCCAAATTTTGTACAAGAACAAATCCAAGGAAGTGCTGTTACTAAGAGCTTCCCTGTGCCCTCAGCCAGCTGTTCGTGTCTGAGCCCAGCGTGGTGTAGGAGACACTCTCTAGGAGAGGAAGGGAGAGACCCAGCATTAAATTGCCAAATTTGAAATAATCCCTTGGCCATGTACTTTCTCCTCAGTCACCTGCCCTACATTGCAGCATCTGTCGCAGGGACTTTTTCAGCAGCTGGGTAGAGACAGGCGTGAAATGGCCGTTGTGTTCCTCTGCGATACTGATCACATCCCTTTCCTTCTGTTTTTCCATCTTTCTCTCCCTTCCTTCCCCTCATTCCTTCTGTCATATTTAAGTGGTTCTCTGGACTGTTTTTTTGCTCACCCCAATGTCTAGGAAGGATGTCCTTGATACTTGATTTGAAAATTTCCTTACCGCACAGCGTAACTGACTCATTCTCCTCATGAGATTGCCCTTTCCAATCTGCTCTCATATGCTAGTGATCCTTAGATCTGGATTTGTCACACAGTAGTTTCCAGTTCTGGGTCGGTTTTAGTCTGCATATGGGTTTGCAGTGCTTACATTTCTTTAGTTTTTCTAGGCTTTTTGTTACCACAGGAGACTTTTTTCCTTTTGCTACTTCCAAAATACCTTCATTTTATTTTCCTCTTCTCAAGAGTTGTTCTTTTTTCTCTCTTCAAAATACAATTCTGCTGTATTTGTCTTAGATCTAGACACACTTCTCACTTTCGCAAACCCTACTGAGGAGTAAGAGAAACAGACTTATTCCTCTTTTCCCTCTCCCTTTATTTTATTTTCCTCTTCTCAAGAGTTGTTCTTTTTTCTCTCTTCAAAATACAATTCTGCTGTATTTGTTTTAGATCTAGACACACTTCCCACTTTCGCAAACCCTACTGAGGAGCAAGGAAACAGACTTATTCCTCTTTTCCCTCTACCTTTGTAAAGAATGGAGCCTCATAGGAGGTAAAACTCACCTTGTGCTATTAGTTTGGTGACACGATGCCAAATGGCTGCAGATTTGCCACTGAATTGTAGATACATACTTTTCTATGTTGACAGTGCCACTCAGTCGCCTATTTGCTGGAACAAAGTGTGAGCACGACCTGCTCATAGCCGACGATTCTCCTGCATCAGATAATCACAAGAGCATAGTGCTGCATTGTAGTCTATTGTAAAAGTGCTGAGAGGCAAGTTATTTATGGGCTAGTGCTAGACCTACTTTCAGTTCGTTGAAAATATGTTTCTGCAAGGAACTGGCAAAGCCAGCTGCATTTGTTATTTTTAGTTTCATTTTGTGATTTTATAACAAAGTTGAAATCATCCTTGATTGAATAGATTAATGCTGACAGTTGCGGTTCTGGGCACTGAATATATTGTGCCTCTGGTGTTAACTTGTGAGTGATTCTATGTGTGATTTTAATTGCTAGCACTGGTCAAATGACAAGCATGTATCATTTTTAGCTGTTTTAGATTAACTTCCCCAGTACTGGGAGAGGATAGCAATCTTAAAAATTTATTGTTCTTGTTAAATAGTGATATTTTTCTCCCCCTTTCTCTAAGTAGCAGAGATAATATAGATATAGAGATAGATCATGTATTTGCTATATCAGAAAAGTCTATCTTATGCAACTTGCTATTTAGTCTGTTTATTGTGATCTTTCAGCATTCCAACAAATGTCAGTGTAATGGATGAGTGCCCATAACAATAGCCACTTCTGGTTGAATTTCTTTATTGTCATATCCCAAATAATCTCTCTCTCTGAACAAAGTGACATTCACAGCTATCTTGCTTACTTATCCTCAGCACAAACAAAAGAACATGCCTTTTGCATCAGCTAGTGAAATAATTTTTCATGGTAGAAATGAGTGTGATGTTTTGATTCAAACTTGTTTTTTTCCCACAGAAAAATGCGGATTTAACCCATTTGGGGGATTTTTGTCAGATCAGTTCTGATCACACAGAAAAATTGCCATAAATAAGTATATTACATTTAACAGCTTTAAGTAAAAGATGTATTTAGTTAAAAATCACATCCCTTTTGTCAACGTACCTTGTATTTAGTTTTGGTATTGAGGATATTCAATTATTAAGTAGAAAAAAAATGTTGAAGGATCTTTTTAGAAAGACTACAAATCAAGTTTTATAAGGTTTATAGATTTCTCTGATAAATCAAGTGTTTATTTATGCCTAAATCCATATTACCTCTACTACTGACAGAAGGAGGGAAGCAAATGTTACTTGTGAGCAATTATTTTTTGTTTTGCTGGAACGGTAAACCAAAACTCATTTGGAGTCAACCCAAACAGTATTTTTTTTCATTACTTCAATTCTCAGGTCAGCCTGGAACTCAAAATCTCATAACTATCCAAAGAGATCAAAAAGAATATATCCAAAAGCTGTCCCTGTGAGAAAACTGAAAGGAGGGAGAAGGAAGTTGTAAAAATAACCTATAGAGTGAATCCCTTTTATTTTATAAGTTTGACTTCAGAGAAGGTTCTGATCCTGCATGGCACTCATTCAGGCATTTAACGCATTTCAGTTAGGTACAATTACTCACATACCTAAAACCTCATAGCCACTTCAATGTTTTACTGGCTCAAGACCCAATGTAGACAGAAATCTTTATTATAGGGGTTTAATCTCCTACATGATGTAGAGTATCAGGAGTACTTCAGTAAAGCATCTTACCTTTTTGAGTCTCTCTTTAAGGAATGTATTTGAAGCTATCAAAATAATAATTCTAGTGATTCTTGGCAAATCCTGTAGTTGCAGAGGCTTGATAAAATCAAGGTAATCATTACTATTTAAAAAAATGTCCCATTGTATAGTGGGTGACATGTTGGGTGACATGTGCAATTCACTACAGGGGAACATAACAAAGGGAAAATATTTTCCCTGAACCCAAGTGAATTTCTTCTCTCTGTAATTATCATCACCCCAGCAATGTGAGTGTCCTTCACCTGAAACTGTGGAACAGTGATGCTCACAATCACTGAAATGTAGTTGAAGAAAATCACCTGTCTCAATCCATTCACAGTCATATTTTAAGAGCTGAAATGCCTTTAGGATGCATGATATATTTACTGTGCACAAATCTGATGCCACAGGTAGATTGTATTCCACTCTGCATTGTACTTAATCATAAAGGCTAACAACTGTGAATTAATAACACATATATCACAAATGAGCATGGAAAGCGTAGCTTTTAACCACTACAAGGAGCAATGTTTTGCACTATGCATTGTAATTAAAGATTAAGCATGGTGAATCTATAGAACTGAATCAACAGTCATTTGTAATATAAACCAATTACCATCATAGGGGATTATTTTCCTGCTGCTGGCTGATCTGATTGTTATGTATTAGCCATCAGTTAAGAACTATTCATCTTGAGGTGTTTATTGCTAGGATGCTCTTCAAGCATAGCAGGTAAACAGTGGAGAAAACATTACAGTAAAACATTAATGAACCATCTGTGTTAAAAACCCAGCGAAGGTAACCCTTACACAGCACTGCTGAACTGGGGCTGGTTTTTAGCTCAGAAGTTACTGGGTCTGATTCTTACTTACACAAATGCTGCTTTGCACCATCTGGTCTAGAAGTAAGAGTGTTTTACCACCACAAAAGTACGTAAGGTACAGGTGGCCCAAATCGTCAGACAGGAGATCACCCCTAACCCTGGTTTTGGGATGCTCCCTGCTAGAAAGAGCCCCAGGACCAACAGACATCACCAGCATGATGAAACTCTGTAAAGCAACAGTTGTCCATGTTCAGACTGAAGCACGGAGTCAAGCCAGCTACCCCAAGGCAGCCCTGTGTGGGGCCACACGTTGCCTGTGAGCCTGTGGGCACAGTAAATTTGTTAGCTTAAACCTCAATGAAAGGCTTTTTACTTCACATGCACGCTGGGCGAGGAGTGCATAGCTGAGTTGACTCCTCAAGTGGCGGTGATTCAGCCGTGCATCTGAGCCCTGACAGAGCCTGTTCTGAAGGGCCGACCCTTCGTTCAGCAAGAATGGATGTGGCGTCAGTAGAGAGAGGAGTAGCAATGGGAGGATGATGCAGAGAGGTGAGTGTTGGCCCAACGTTCAGACACGTGGACTACACGTGATCCAGAGAAACTGGTAGCAAGTGCTCCTGCCCAGCATTTTTAAAGATAGAGCAGAGTGAAGTTTCCTTGTGTGTGCAGTGATGGCCCAGGACTCTTCCCCCACTCCCTGTCTTTACTCTTTATGTAGGGTTGTATTTTTGATAAGAGGGCACAGAGGCAGGCTGAGGTATATACAGTATATATATATGGCACACCGGGAAGAAGGTTAAAAAAGCAGTAATTCTCAGTAGCAACATAGAAATCAGCCATTTGCCTGATTCCAGGTATTTTCTGCTGATTTCAGTGAAAACAGGTTTAGGCAAGAACAGGGCAACTGTGGAGAACCATGCATTTCACTTTGAAGGATTAAAATAAATGGGTTCTGTTACTGTGTTACACCTGAGAGCCGTTGCTGCACTGCCACACAAAGCAAGGGCTCTGCTTTGCCAGTTTGTTCATGCAGAAATGTTCCAGGCTTTTTTGCCTGCACAAATATTTTGGTATAAATGTCACAGTAGGGAAATAGCAGTTCATTTTATTCATTACTAATCACATATGTGACTCAAAATACCAAAATACAAAAACCAGTTTTGTTTCTGCTTTTGCTAGCATTGTCTTTGTATTTGTAATACTGTAACATTTGATACCGGAATTTATAATAGCCCAGGGGCTTTCTGCACCCCTGGATTAGCTTGCCTATGAATAGTTTACCATTTACATCCTATGTAAGCTTAACTTTAAGACTCTGGAAGGATAAGGATCCCACCCCATGAAAGAGAGTAGCACAATAAATAGTCAATACAAATACTTTGTGACATGATAGTTTTGAAACTTGGCTGAAAATATTACAGACAGTGAGGAGGAAGGTGTTCATTAGTGTGGGAAAAAATACTTGGTATGCAGAAGAGATGTGACCCAGCTTCCAGTTGAGGAGTTCCCATGCATCAGCTGAGCTGCAATGTCTGATCCATGCGTGCTCTATCTGGAGAGAAACTCATTCGTTTAAACTTCTCACACTGAAGTTTAAGCATTTGCATTTTTACTGCATTTTTGTGGAGGGCTCAGAGGGAACATGGTCAGGCAGGCTGGCTCCGGGGATGTTGAATCAGCTCTACCCAAATACTTAGAAACAAGCAAATCCAAAACACAGGGCAGGAGGGTGCTATTGAGCTGCATGGGAGAAGAGAAGCCCAGTTCTGTCGCCGCTGAGTACAGGGGCTGAGGAAAATCCCTGCAGCACATGCAGGTAACGGTTGCTCACAAAACATACACACAGGCCCTGCTCTTTAAAATGAAGCATTGTCAGGGTGTGAGGCAGCAACTGTGTGTTGTCGATGCAGTGCATGGTTTCTCACTGCACTGAGAGGAAGCCCTCCTCCCTGCCTGTGGCGAAAGCCAGTGGCCATCTCTATATCCATCTCTACATTTCAGGGTCATCAGTTCTTAAGTCTGGTTGACACCCACCATTTATACATTGCAGGAAGAGCTTTAAAGACTCCACAAAGCCTAGGATTGAAGCTTGCTCATGACCGTGGTTTAATTCCAACAAAAACAAAATATTTTTTATTGAATTAAAAACTTCCCCAGCCATTAAAACACCATGCCAGATCCTGAAGAGCAGAATGGCAATGAAGGCCTCCCTTTTACAGTGATGTCCATTCATGTTCAACTTGAAGCTCTGCAGGGTTCCTCACTGAGTGCTGATGAATGAAGTCTTTGCAGCCCTTTTCACTGTGATATGGTGCTCTCCCAGAGCGCAGGGAAGTTCAGTTACCCTGAACTTAAAATAGTCCAAACGGACCTGAAAAACATGCAGAACACTTTTGGCTTTAGTGTACATTCAGGCAACTACAGCTACAAGCCCAAACTGACTCACAAAATGAGTTTCCAGCAATCGTGCCACTCACTTTGAGTCTTCTTTGCCTTCCATTTCTGTACTATACTTCCTCCCTTGATCTCATGGCACCAGTGCCTCTAAAACCCATGGCACTTCTAGCAGAGAGACAGGTTAACACTTGTGTTTTCTACCATTTCCTGCAGGCATCCCCAGCTGCTCTAGCAAAAAGCGTTTTGGCTGAAGTTCCAAACCAAGTCGTGGACTATTACAATGGCAAAGGGATAAAACCAAAATGTATGTCAGAGTACGAGTCTTCCAGGACACTAGCTCCATGAACCTGCCTGCACTCTTTTACAAAATTAAAAAAGAAAAATGCTACTGTCTACAACTACTGTACTTAAAAATGAAACAAAAAATTAGCACGTTTTGGTGATTTTTAACTAAAATAACCATTTTTTTTGCATGTGTAGCCTAAAGGCTTAAATCTGTTAAGCGGTTGTATTGTTGAAAACTTTTTATGAGAAAAAAACATCCAGAAAAAAAAAGTGAACTCTTTACATTACAGCATGTCGCCTTGAAATAAAAAGTTATCTGTATCTGTTTTTTATACAGGTTTGTTGAAATTTTGCTAAATTTCTTATCTTTACACTGTAAAGCATTTTGAAATATTTATTGAGAGTCGATAGCCAAAATGTCTTTGGTTTAATCTGCTATGAACTGAGAGATTTTTCAAAATGGCAGATGCATGAACTGTATTTTGCATGTTTAAAATAAAAACAACACAGTTTTGCAGTTGTTGTCTTTATTTCTTTCTCTGCCACAAGGCTGCCTGCTTTCAACTTCCATATTCCAAGAAAAGGGTAGTAACGTGTTTCAGGAGATACCTGGCCTGAAGCATGGGCATTTCTAATGTTAGTAGCTTATAATATGGGCACCCGAACATGCCCACTCAGTCTGTGGCCTGAGTAGCCATTTTTCAAAAGCCTGAGACATCCAGCTGTTACGAAGGGTTCAGACCGTAGCTATAAACAGATCTGGCTCACAGGGCATGATCCATCAGGATTGCATGTCTTAAAATACGCCCACTTAATTCAAACGATCTGGCTGGTTTTCGAATGGGTTGTATTTTGGCTACCCAAATTTATAATCTCTTGTATTTGGGAATTCTTATTTTGTTTCATTTGTATTTTTTATCTCACATCCAAAATCCAACTTTGCATGACACGTTTTCCGAAGGAAATTTTGCACAGCCTGATTTTGTGACAACCAGTGGTTTCTAACTTCATGCACACACATATCACATGTGTGTGATAGAAAAACTGGGTTTGTACCAAAAGAATATTCAAGCCACCTTTTTTTTTAAAAGAGGACACACAAGAACAGATTGGCAGTGGATTGATCTTTCCATTGAAATATTTATGTATATAAATGAAGAAATGAGATCATTGTTACTCTTAGTGTTTGAATTTTGGCTTCTTCATTTGCTAAAAGACAATAAGGAAAGATGTGACTTGTTAGAAGTTAAGGATAAAATTTGACCAAAAATAATTCGTGTGGGATTGTCTGAAGGGCACAGCTTTGGATGAGTTTGTGCTCCCACTGAATTGAAAACATTCCTGTTGCTAGTTCCAGAAGAAGCTGTTTTGGGCCAGTACTGAATATTTTGGAAAATCTCACTTGTGAGCAAGGGTTTCTGGTTTTAGAAATATGTATTTTTAAATGAGTTTGCAGGTAATGTAGAACTCTAGCTCCCTGATTCTCCTTTAGAAGTAACTTCCATGGGATCAGCTTTGATTGATGATTTTGTACCACAAAGTGAAGGCAATGGGATAGCCAAGATGCATGGGGCTGTCTCCCCAGCACAATCAGTTCTGCTCCATCTATATCCTGCAGCGCAATCGTTCACGCTTGCTAGTAAAGATTCCTTCACCTGATCGGATATTGAACAGCAGCCAGTATTACTTGGTCATAGGTATAAATTGTCTGAAGATGTCCCGACTAATAGATCTCAAATCCATATTTCCATTTAATGGCTGACTGTTCGAGAGCTTGCCCCAGCAGGCTGCACATCTCTCCCTCTGTGGAAGTATTTCAGCTGGAAGTTAATGTGATTTTCCCCTATATTTCATACACCACTCTGCCAACGTATCTTAATTCTTATCTACAACATCTCTAGTTTCTTATTCCCATTTCCCCCCTTTTTTCTTTCCTTCCCTATTCTCAGAAGGAGCGTTTTCTAGCTGTTAAAGCACATGACTGAAAAATCAATGACTCCATGTTCTTTGCTCCTCCAGTATTTTATTTTGTAATCTTGGGCAAGTTGTTTAACTTTTCTGTATCTCAGATTCCTCATCTGTAAAATGAAGGTCACTGCGATGTATTCATAAATATCTCACAATGGTAATGGGGGACTTTAATACTTGAAAAGCGATTTGAGATCCTCAGAGGCACGATGGTGCTCTCGCCACATAAAGAGTATTACTTTACCCAGGGCATGGATTTAGGGATGTAATGTACAGCTGAGGAGGGGTTAAGCCTTTTCTTTATTATTTTCCAGAGTGAAGGAAAGAAAAAGAAAGCTTTCAGCAAGAAAAATTAGGAATCAGATAAATTGTTCTTCTGGTACATACGATCTTTGGCTAAACTGATTTTTGAAGTGTTTATGGTTACATGGAATTGGGCAGTTACAGCTCTTCATTAGCAGAGGTGTTACAAGGTGCTTCTATAATGTAGCATCACATAAAATGCAGGATCAACATGTGGTTGTTCAATGGTTATTGTATGCTGAGCTATATAAACCATCAGTCATTTTCTTGTATGTAGGTGATCTATATAAGTGTCTCAAGGGAATCACAGTTGCTGCAGATCTTTCTGTTTACTTCACACAATCCAGATTATAAATGTTGTCTACTTAAAAACAAATCATTATCAGTGGTAATATAGATCAGCAATTCTGTAGCAGCCCTCAAGGTATTTGAAAAGACACTTCCATGATATTGAAAAATCAGTTGGAAATCTCCTTCAATCTACATAGATTCCAGCATGTAAAACAAGCACGTAATAGTGTGGTGAGCTGGTGTAGGAGAATGCACAGAAGACAAAAATAGCCATATGGTAAAGGCTTTATAATGACGCTTTGAATGTTATTTTCATTGCTCCAAGTTACTCAGTGCAGTAAGATAGTATAGGCTTTGTGCAGAGTAATATCATTAAGTATATGAAAATATCTCTGAAACGGCATTTTTTCTCCTGCTTTATCTACTTAGGGTTTTAGCGAGGCCGTTCCGCCTTTAGGCAGAACCAGCATCAATTTTTCTTGTAGATTTTTTAATGCAAATTTAAACTTCTACTGCCTTTTGATGGATCATTTTAAATTCTGAAAACTCCTTTAAAATAAATTATATCTTGTCCTTCTGAGGTAATTGATGATTTAAAATATCTTCTCTGCATACTGCAATCCTGCCTTCCTTTTTACTGTCTCTCAAATCTGATTCAAAACCCAGAAGCCCCAGAATACTCAAAGATATTCATGATCCCTATTAGCCCAAAATACATTAACATCCATAATTCTTGAGCCAGATACTGAGCTGAGTTGTATTTTTAGCTGTGTAGGGGAAACTAAGTCTACAATAATAAAAAAAAAGCACTAATACTGCTAATTGCTTATTACCCCAAGGTAAAACTACCTGTGTAAAGTTCTTACCATGATAAGCAATATAGTGTTCTATAGCATTTGATGAAAGAGTCTACGGGTATGAAATGAAAATGAAATTATAATAATAGTATTGCTTTAAAACATGTATTTTAGTCTCCAAATATCAAAGGTACACAACTGATGACAGCTAAAAGGTTTACAGTTTGATCCGTTAGAGACCTGCTGGGTGCAATGGAGAGCAGTGGTTTAAGCCAAGGCTTGCTGCAGGTTGCGGAGATGATATTCCAAAATGCACAGGTTCCACCTGAGGCCCCTGTTCTGAGCAGATTTGTATGACAGAGCCCTGCAGGTCTGCAACACTGAACTGCATCCTTTGGGTTTACCCACACACCAAATACAGTGATAGAACAGTGTACGGCTTAATGAGCCTCATTATTGTATTGCAGTAAGATCTTTGCTGACGAGTTTAACAGAGCTGCCTCCTTCAGCTTGGCTCTCCAGCTGCTCAAACAGGACACGGCTTACTCCCAGAAAGAACCCAACTGGTTATTCAGATTGACCTTTCTCACTTGGGATTACGGGTCTTGCAGTCACACCTGCTATGTAAATCTAAACTTACCTCCAACCTTTCCAGAGTGAAAGAGGTACTAGACAAACTCCCTTTACTCCTAAGTAGCATCGACATTCCAGGCACAAAACATAGGTACATTTAGACTCACATTTTTTGGAACGGGAAGGATGAGCTGGAGGACTCCTAAGACAAGGTTACATTTCTGAGGTTGTTTATTCCCTTTATTTACAGGAAGAGCCATTTCCCATAGAGAAAATACAGCAGTGTGTGTGAAAGCTGTTGGTAGTTTTCTGGATCAGAGTTTTGGGTGCGAGCGCCAAAATTCTGCTCACTGTTACCCACTCTGAGGTGCCTACAGCTTCTCTTGGATTTGGTTAGCTGGCCACAAGCCTCGAGTGCAACACACACACACATACCACAGGGGGAAAGAAAACGGAGAGGCAGGGTAAAGAGGAGAAGCAATGATGGACTTCAGCTGGCCACACTGAATGGTCACCTATCTTTAAAATTCTGTTGAAGCCAAAAGGGAATCTAGGGTTCATACCCATTCACTGTCCTACCTAGTGCGCTGTCAGCTGTGCTGGTGCCCTGCTCAGAAAAAAGGGTGAACTAATTCTGAATACAGATGAAAGCCAGAGAGGCAGAGATACCAGCCCAGTGCTAGGCTGCCCAGAAATCCTCTGCCTGGCCCACCTGCGTTTAACTTTGCCAGTAACATCGCTGACTACAACATTAAATATAATACTTGCCACAGATGTTGCCCTCCCACTCTTAAGTGGCCTACCCACTCGCAAGGAGCTCCTGAAGCGCTTAAGCCCCGCACCCTGCAGCGGTTTGATAAAGCAGAGAGGTTTCTGCCCAAACCCCCCAGGCGTCCACTCGATGCCTGCATGGTGGGGGAAGGTTTTGAATCCATGCGAGGGTCCCGCAACCCTGTGTGCCTGAGTGGTGCTTGCCAGCAATAAACTTCACCCGCCACTGGACACTTTCCCTTATTGACGCTTATTTGTTGGATTTCACCGGCTGGCGGCTGGAACGGAGGCGCGGGAGCGAGGGCAGTGCTGGCGGGGTCAGGGGAAAGGGTGCCCACGGCTATTTCTGCACATCGTCTCCCACCACTCCCTCGGGTGAGGTCTTCCCCTTGTGTCAGAGAAGCCCCATCGGCCACGGGTGCTGCAACCCTGACCCGCGGGACCTCCGGGCAGCACTCGCCCCCGGGCACGGAGAAGCCCAGCTGGCCACCAGCCAGGGCCCAGGTTAAACCCCATGTAGTGCCGCAGGGCAGGTGCCTTCGCCTGGGGGGGAGTAACCTGTCCTCCTAGGCCGGTTTGGGAACCCGCTGGGGCCAGCGGTGTGGGGGATGCCTGACGCACAA